GTTGGTCAGGGCTCTGGGGGAATAAAAAAAAAAAAAAAAAGTGACGGACGCGTAGAGATATAGATGTGCGCGCGGGGGTGCGATATTACGGGGCGCAATAGCCCGGCACAGGGCGATCGGTTGGTCGGATACGATCGGGTCCAGGGTCCGGTCCGTCGCCGCGGATGTGAAACGGTCAAAGCTAAAAAGCACTCTCCGCCGAAACGGGCTATATATTATCTGCAACCCTTCAAACACAGAACACCGTCCGCGGAGAGAGAGATCCATACATAACGTATAACGTGTGCGTAAGCTCAGCTCGCATCCTGCGGGATCGCCGGAGCTCGGAGGAGAGCCGCCGCGTCTGCCGATATATGTATGCTTAAATCCCTTACTTAAGTGCTCCGCGTTTTCGCATCAGTTGGATCTCGTTCGCGCAACTCCCCCTTCGTTTGTATTTCCTGTTTTTATATCGAAGAATAACGGGGACTTATTTTTTTCTCTGTCTCTCTCTCTCATACATTTCTGTCTTATTATTAAATCTTTCAATTTAAAAAATTTGTTATTAAATCTCTTCTCTCTTCCTTTTCTCTCTCCCTCTAGAGAGATCACCGATATATACCTTTTTATTACATGGATATTTAAGGCAATAAAATTATTTATGAAGGCTTTTATATATATATTTTATGGGACAATTTTATCCAGAAGATTAAAAGAAATTCGAAAGACGCTATCTATTATACATCCTGTATGTCTCCATAAATTTTCATCCGAGAGGAAGGATATTCAGAATATAAATTATTCGTATTCAATGGCGATATGTCTTTAAATTTTTGCGTTATCGACTTTATTCCACGATTGCTATCAATTGATTTTCACTTTCCAATTATCGCAAAAAAAAAGCAATGCCGACTTAATCTACGGCGTTATGCGTATCTACATATATATGCATATAATAGTCCCGTGTTACAGAAGGGATGAAATGGGCGTGGTTACGAGGGGTTGCGAGTTCTTGGTTACGATCTCGTCGGCCAATGCGGGGCCGCTTTATCATCTGGCAACTGTTGCAAACGCAAGCGCCGTCAAGCCTACCTTTGCGAGCTTGCTATAGGTCGCCGTATATTGGACGCAGCATCGAATCTGATGACGTACAAGCGCAGACTCGATGCTGTCTTTAAAAAAAAAAGCAAATAAAAGAGCAAGAGAGAGAGAGAAAGAGAGAGTAAATGAGCGAAAAAGAAACAGAGGGGAGAAGAGAATAAAGGACAGACTCAGCCACGTAATTCAACTTTAACTGATTTCTTCATATTGTATAACTATTATTATATTCCTATGGAAATATACAACAACTTATTTACATGGACAGTAAATAGGAAGAATAAACTGATATATACGATACACAAATTTAATTTCCGATATAAATTTTGACGATTGCACACATTAAATATATATGCAATGCCCAGGTAACCAGTTAAAAATATTGGCTTAGTTTTTTCAAAATTTAGCGTTAAGTGGCGAAAAACTTCAATTTTTATTTTGTATTTATGTTAAAAGCATTTTTCATATTTGCCAAATAAAAACTAAGAACTAAACTTTTATTTATCGTATAGTTTAAATTTTATAATAACTTTTTATTATAAAATTTGATTTTTTCAAATAAAAATTGTATATTTCATCCAAGAAAAATAATTAATATTGCATTATTAATATTGTCACATGAACCATATATATATATATGCATTTATTAAACATACATACGTTATTTTATTTCTTTTTCCTTTGGTTGTCTTTATTAAAATGTGATTTATTTAATTCAGTTTATAAATTGAAAAATTTTATAGGCTTTTATTGTATCCTTTTCATTCTGAAATATTATTTATTATTATAATTTAAAAAAAAATGTTACGTATATTTATGTATAACAAAATGAATTTATTTTCGCAAATATTATCTTAATGATGATGACATATAGTCGCGACTGTCATTTAATAAATCTAAGATTTACTTTTTTTTTAACTTTGTCGTCAAGAGTTCCAACTACATTTATCGGAGCATCGTTCCAATGCCAAAAACATGCTATCTATTATTTGGCTCGTCCTGCTGTAGAAATATTTATATTTGTTGTCGGCTTTCGGATGACGATTATAAACATCTTCCATAAATTCGCCGTCCGGAGTGAAGAAGAGAATTCTCGGAACGTACGTTCCGTCCGGTTGAAATCTCGCTTCGTCTTGCGCGGACATCTCGCCTTTTCTCGCATTCACCATGACAAAGCTATACATTGTTACGTATACAATGAATTCGGTATAAAAAATCCTATGTTACTTATACTCCTTAGATACGGCTTATTATGTTTAGTTTGCTGTCACTCGGTTACTATTTTTTTAAAGCCGTATTTGTAAAGTTTAGTTTGCAAAAACCATGCGTATTGTATATTTTATACATTCTGCATCTATATTGATTAATTGTATTTTTAAATTGTATTTTCTATACATAAAATATAAAATGATTGACTCGTTTATATTAAATTTATATATTATATAAAGATATATAAATATTATATAAATATTATATAAAGATACTTATTAATATATTTTAATTTTATAAAATTTTAATGTTTGGTAGTGTTGCAAAAAAAGCTTTGTAAGAGAGAGAAAGATGTATCACTCACTGTTTGCTGAGATCGAGGAGTCTGATGGAGTTGATGAATTTAGGCTTGAGTTTCTCGCAGGTGGGACAACCCGGTTTGTGGATTAGGAGAAATATCGGTTTCCTGCAGACCTTGGCCTCTCGGAAGCCCTCCTGCAGATTCTTCCATTTGTACATGTGCCCGAAATGATTATTTGAATCGTCATCGGCCGAGACTGCACTTCCGAATATATAATTTGCCAGGGCGGTAAAATTGACAGAACCGACGAGACATTTCACATAACGCATGATTAATTTTTTTTTACGAAGAAATGTTTCTTAATTCAATCATTACTAATATCAATTTCGAGGTTCGACGTGTGTGTGTATATATATATGTGCGCGATTTAAAATTTTCGTTGCTAACTTCGCGCTTCGTTTTTAAAATGGCCATTGAATGCCATCTATCGATAAGTTGACAGTACTAAAATGACAGAAAATAATAACAGAAGAGACGTCGGTAAGAATTATATAATACGATTGTGTCATAAAAATATATAAGATGTTCTCAAATTAGTTTTTTTTATTTTGAAAACGATATGAAGATTATCGAATTATTACATGGACAAATATCAAATAAATTGATAAACCGAAAATTTAGTGATTTTATAATCTAGTGATTTTAGATACAGAAGGTTGTGGTCAGAGAGAAATCTGAGAGGGGCCACGCCGCCGTTTTTCATGAGACCGATTTCTTAGCTGATACAGTGGCGCTAACTAGGTTCATTTTAAAATCGGCAGAATGACATGGCCAGATTCATTTTTCGATGCCATGGTAAAAAGTACGAAAACATTATTGACTAATATATTTTATTAGTTACGCGTGATCTTTTTTTATTTTAGTACATATTACGGACAGCAATATATATGTATTATTATTAAAATATTTTTATTATAAAATAATAAAATTATTTTTTATGTATATATACACGCACATATGTAGAATATATATTTTATTATTTTCGTAAGAGAAAGAACTAAGTATATAATTACTTTAGACTTTAACAAACTAAATTTGTTTTAGAGTAAAACTTGTAGATTTTAGAGATTGTGGTGAATAAAATAATTCTTGTCAGACAAAATAATTTATTTTGTATATTTTGTTTATTTTTCTATTTTCATTTGGACATATTTCATTGTTTCTGTACTTACGGTCTCATTATTTTCTTTCTGTGAAACGTTTTAGTTTTATCCAGGGAAATATCCGTGCGAATTGGCTGATCTTTTTTAATTAATTTCTCAATAATTATTACGAAAATCGCAAAATGGTAAAGAACTTTTCTCCTCGGTTTTACCTACTCTATTTGCACATTACGGGTGGGGCAATTATTATTAGACACTCTGTATAAGTAATATGTTTTAAATAGTAAAAATTCTCACTACGTTTTCAAAATACATTACTCAGCCTCTTTCACGAACCACTCAATTATGGGGGGAATGCTTATTTTTTAACAATAGAATTATTTAATGAAATATATTTATACTATGTTACAGCATGATTATTGCGGCAGAGAAATTATTGATGATGCAGGCATTGGCAATGTCATTGTAAAATAACTGATCTGGAAAGATCACATTGCATCTGATTGCATCCGATATTCGATATATGTATATACGTAACAAAATGCTAATGTGTATTATTGTATATCAATAAAAATCACTGTGTGTGCGTGCGTGCGTGCGTGTGTGTATGTGTGTGCGTGTGTGTGCAAAATATAGTTAATAGCGAAAACGATCAATCCAATTTTACTTACAAATGTATAAGCAATTGCGAAAACAATCATGTCCGATATCCAAAATATGTATATACGTAAAATTGCTAATATGTATTATTTTGTATAATAATAAAAATGAGTGTGTGTGTGTGTGCGTGCGTGCGTACAAAATGTAATGTAACGGCGAAAACGATTGCGTTCGATACCCAATATGTGTATATGCGTAAATATATATAAATGTAAGAAAATCGATAATATCTGTCAAATATATTTTGTAATCTTTAAAAATTTAATAAACTGTATTATTAATACAAAACGCATATGTCTTCTGAATGAACCTACCCATCCATTCCCACATATCTTGTTGTCTCACACACGCCTCTTTGTTAATTATACATTTTTCTGATACGATTTTGCCAATTTTTTATTCTTGGAATTTCTGAAACTGCATTTCTTGGAATCAAGTATCAGGAGAATATAATTAGCAAAGAGGTGGCACAAACTAAAATGCTGAAAAAAGCGCGAAAATTTAAAGCTTCGAAATTCGCGCAAGTATCAGGAGAACATGATAAGCGAAGAGTTCGCACGATGTTAAATTACAGAAAGCGGAAAATTTAAAGCTTCGAAATTCGCGCAAGTATCAGGAGAACATGATAAGCGAAGAGTTCGCACGATGTTAAATTACAGAAAGCGGAAAATTTAAAGCTTCGAAATTCGCGCAAGTATCAGGAGAACATGATAAGCAAAGAGTTCGCACGATGTTAACTTACAGAAAGCGGAAATTTAAAGCTTCGAAATCCGCACAAGTATCAGGAGAACATAATCAGTAAAGAGGTGGCACATGGTAAAATTTCAAAGAGCATGAAAATTCGAATGAAAAACCTTCAGAATCCGTAAAGGTACAAGTTTTTTTTTTTTTTTTTTTTTACGAAGGAAGAGAAAAATGCATTATGCATTCCCACCGGCCGGTCCGGTGGGATATGCGGGACTCGCACCCGCTAAAAAACTCTCCCTATAGGACCAATTTTCGGTTTCCTGCCGATACTTACACAAATTTAAATTCTGAGATATCGGGGAACATGATAGGCAAAGAGGTAATACAAATAAAAACTTTAAAAATTGAAATTTTAGAAACTCCAACTTTATTTTCTTTTTTCATTTATAATGAAAATTACTATCTAAAAATTAATTATGCTTACAACACATTTCTCAATTTTCGCAAATGATCGCTGTACATCTTATAAACACCTTAAGAAGAAAAAAATCCATATACATATTTATAAAATGTATATAATGTATATGTATGAAATTCCATATATATCTATAAATGTAAAATTATTCATATATATATATATATATATGAATGAT